CATCTGGAGAGACATTGAATCATTTCACTGATCCAGAGAGAAGCAGCAGCAGAAATTATTAACAATCTGGACCAGAACCTTTTATTCTGATGATTTACTACATCCACACAGAGTCTGCTACTGTTACTTAATCCACTGCAGCTAAAACTGCCAAAGAGAAATAAGAGTTCAAAAAGAAACTAGTAGAAAAGCTGAGTATTGGTTAAATTTGAGGATCCCAGGACTGGGTGAACAAATAATAACCCTTCACAAGTCACGTTACAGCTCCTGTCCTGGTAAATTTACTGACTTTATAAATAAAGGACATCATTTCTTGACATTAAGACATCATGCTAACATTGAAGCTAGCGATGTGTTCATGTTGAGTTTTCTTTGCTCTGTATTTAAAGGTCATCTGTCACATATAGCATCTGATGGTCTTCTTCTTGGTTCACCACTCTGTGCATCATCTTTTAAACGTTTTGGATATTAACATGTACAAAATAACTGACCTTTGACATTGAGCTGAACCTCTGTCAGCTTTAGCGTCTTTACTCCATCAGCGATGCTGCAGACGTAGTTTCCACTGTCAGTCAGTTGAGGCTTTCTGAAGGTGAGGCTGTAGTTTCCAGTTTCCAGAGCATCAGGACTCATCGATGTTCTTCCTCTGTAGATCTGGTTCTGTCCTTCTGGATCACTGCCTTCTTGTCGGAAGAGGAAAACTTTGGAGTTGTGATCGTTACGAGTCCAGATAACGAAGGGATCTTCAGGCATTATTCCCCCATAAAGGCAGGGCAGCAGGACAGACTGCGCCTCCTCAAACACCTCTATCACTGCAGCCTGGATCCTTAAGGACACTAACGGCACACACACATTTAAATCACACCGTCATACATTGAAATAATTCCAGAATCACTGGAATGCAGCTGCTGCTAAGAAACAACCAGTTATTAGTTTCTCCTTTGTTACAAACATCTTTAATTTTAAATTCTGCTTCATCTGTGAAATTTCAGTTCAAAATGGAAAATTAGGACATCGAGATGGAAGCCAACACTTCTGAACAGTTAGTGTCCAGGATGTGGGGGGTATGCAGAGATGTTAGTGACCCATTGCCTGACCCTGGACCAGTTCTGGTCATCATTGAGGTTCACTGGGACCTGTTGGTGAATGGGTCATGGCGTTCTGCTAGCCTGCAACTCAGAAACGATCCTCACTGAGGCCCAGAGAGGCCAACCTGCTGATCAGAGGAAGCTGGTCTTACCGTACAGGAGAATCCCAAACGTCACCAACGTCTTCATCTTCCTCTCAGACAGCAACCATGTCACACTTCTCCTCTACAGAAACTACTGATGAGCTCTGAGAAAATGTTTAGTTTCATTTTTATTAAACCGGTTAAAGTCATTGAAAGGTCAAAGTGAAGACACGCCTGTTCTGTTCCAGGCAGGTCATGTGATCTTGTTGTTTGTTTTTAATACATTCTTCTATGCATTAGAAGAATGAACACATTCTTCAACGTATTCATTCAGTCAGCAGAAACAAAAACACTCAGCTTAAAGCTGAACTTTCAGCTGTTTGTTTATGAATATCACTGAAACAATCATATATGAAGACTGAATCTATTCTACCCACAACTATGTGTGAACCAGGTTTTGGTAAGAATGAGACGTTCTGCTGTTTCTATCTGTTAGCTCCCGATAATCCTCAGATAAAGCCAAACTCTCCGGATCATCTTCATTCCTTCACGGTTCTTTGAACCTCACCCATCAGCAGCTTCGTCTCTTCCTCATGTCTGCAACTGAAAGATAAAAATCAGCTCCGAGTCAGAATGTTGCTGTGGAAATTACCAAAACTTACAAACAAATCTGCTTTCTGTTTCACAGTTTCTGCTGAATATTTTAAAGTCAGCATCTCTGCTGACTTTAACAGCTGAACAGTTTCAGCTCACTGCAGATTCCCTCTAAGAGCCAAACATAGAAAATATAAAGTATTTAAAACTCTGGTTTCTCGTGTTTATGTAGTTTTATTCATGCTACTACTGTCTCTGACTACAAGTCCTTCAGAGATTTCACTTTAGTCTTACTGAACAGTGGAATATTGAAACAATCAGATTATATTCTATTCTCGTTTATTGTAGATCTGTAAACGTCATGCTGACTGATAATCCCTCAGTCAGCGTGTAGAGATGCACCAGTTCCTTTTGTTTCTCTTGACATGTTGCGTCATGTATAGCGCACATCGGTGATCACCTCTTTTCTTACGGCGCAACTCCCATATGCAGCTTTGCGGAATCTGTAGATTTCTGATATTTCATTTCTTGCACAGCGTCTCTGTTCTGGTTCAACCTGCTGAACATTTGATTTCTGATGGTTCAGTTTATCACCTGCTTTTATGGCTGCGGCTACATCTTCATTTCCCTGAATTATGACCAAAATCGGATTAAAGTATTCTATTTTATTTGTCTTTTGCCCACTAAATATGTTTTTTGACAACCTGTTGGTGCTTTATTTCATTTGGAAAATTGAAGCCTGCTTGTCTAGGTGATGCCGAGTTGGATGGTAACGCTCTAATTTCCCCAAAGGTTGTATTCCAAAAAATAATGACCCTGATTATGAGCCCTGGAATGCAGCCAAGTCAATAAAACAGGGATAAAAAGAATCGGCAATGAGAATATACTTTTCCCCCAATTGGTAACGACTGTTTTCATCTCTTCTATCATTTAAAGTACAAACAAGCTTCAGAGATGTCATTTTTAGGGATTCATTTAGACATCTCAAGACCCTTTTCGTCTTTCATAACTGACCCAAACTTAGGAAAACCCAGAAAAAGGATTAGGCCCTGTTCCTGTGCGGCCAGGATGAGGGCCTCTGTGCTGTCGTTGAGTCCAGCTTTTTCCAGCCATTGGTAGGATTTCCTGATATCAGCCACTTCAGTTATTTGTCTATTCTACATCCCATGTAGGGGCTTGTCCTCCCTTGATGGTAACTCCAGCACCTCAACTTCGATTCGCCATTGTCTGAGACATTCGCTTTTATATATAATCTTATATATAAAAGATTATATTGTTTTTAGTTTTGTATGTATATATACATACATACAAAACTAAAAAGCATATATAATCTTTTATTACATTTCACATCTTTTAAAAAAATACATACTTCCATTTTTTGCGATTTGATGCCTTGAACCTGCAGCTTCAGGGGCGGAGACGCATCATCACAGAGACACGTACGCTGCAGTGAGAGCTTTGAAAACTAAACTGTACCTTTGGGAAAATCACAGGCAACACGGAAACCTTTTCCATTTTCCCTGCTGCCAAACCATAAAAACGCAGCTCTCTAACGCCGTGTTCCCCTGCAAAGTTTGCTGAAAAACTCTGTGTACTCTGCACTGAGTTTAGCCGGCGATTTGCTGACTTTGATGCCCAAAAATGTAGATTTGAACACTTACCTGTGTGAGCAACTTTTCTCCATGATGAAGATGACCAAAACATCTCACAGGAGTCGTCTTACTGATGAACACCTTTGCTCGATACTGAGGATTTCCTGAGCTCAGAGGAAATCTGAGCTCAGGTTCCAGTGTTAAAAACACTGGGATATAACCCAGTGTTGAAAACACAAGTAAAAAAAAATGTATAGATGTTGATTTAATATCTTAATCTACAACGAGATTAAAAAGTAATAAGGTTAAAAAAAGAATATGTTTGTAAATATGTTCATAAATATTGATAAAAAAGTGCTAAAAATCTTTAAAACCTGTGAAATATCTCTTTAGTTATTGCTTTTAGTGACAGATTAAACAACCAATAACTTACAGAGTCTGATCTCACATCAGCCAATCAGGTCGATTAACTGCGTCGCTGAGAATAGACCCTTTTCACAGTGACGTCAGACAATGGCCGCCATAACTCAAACCTGGGTGTCTTTACTTCCGGTGTGATTTTGCCTTGGGAACCAAGCTGAAAAATTCCCGCATTAAGTTTAATAATAACAGCATTTAAGTGTTAGATAGCTGTTATTAATCATTGTAAATTCACCATTCTCTGTGTATAAAATAAACAGCCTCCGATCGGTGACTAAACCAGCAGCTTTAGCCACATTTAGGAAAAAATATACTCTCTGTCAGCGCAGTAACGTTTAGAGGTTCACTTTCTGTGATTTATAAAACAGTGTTTACGTGTTAGATAACCGTTATTAGTCATTGTCAATTTACCATTCTCCAACCAGCCT